GCCTGCATTTCGCGCACTCGACACGCACGATCTCCGCAGAGGGTTGCACTTTCGGTTGACGCTGTTCGTCCCACCCTCCGCCTTTAAGAGAGAATTTATGAAGTGGGGAAATGTTTTTTCATTAGGACATCTCCCGTGCTAGTTCACTTGCCTACTCATTGCATGCTTGCAATACTCATTGCATGCATACTCATCATTGCATGCATACTCATCACTTGCATACTTACACTTGCATACTTCCACTTGCATACTTTGACAGCTTTCGCTCTTCCACTTACACAGGGCTACGTATAGCGTTCATGTTATTTATCCTGCCAGTGTGGTGAAAGTGTCAATGTCTAGCTAGGTGTGTGGTGAAAGTGTCAATGTCTAGGTGTGTCTAAGTGTACGTGTCGAAGTGTCAGTGTTCAAAGGATTTTCCGGAAGAACCCTTCGCAATGCTTTCGGGAATAATTACAATCAGGCCGAAGTGTTGGCTGAAGCTCCCCAGCTCCAGAGCAAATCAGGCAGTCCGAGTTGCCACGAATGAGTTGCTCAAGGCACGAATGTCCACTGCATGTTCGGAGTTCAAATGCGAGTCGTTCTCCGAGACTTTCCAGCCGGCAACAGCATAATAATAAGCCAAGATTGCTTTCTCTCTGCATTAAAGTCTGCTTTCTAACCATCTATTTTCACATTGACCATATTGCAGCATATTTGTTTCACGCCATCTACGGCTGGAGATGTAAGCTACAACGACAAAGCGATGCCTGGCACTTTCTGCAGATACGGACATCTTCCTGAATTCGTTCAGAAAGGCTCAGACAGCCGGGCAAGTGCCAGGTTTGGTCGCAGAAACGCTGTCAGAACTTGACCTACAAAATGAGTGCTAGGTTTGATATTCTGTCTGACACAAGAAAAAGAAGTGCCTACGACTAGTTCAGTCTGAAGCCTCTCTTTTGATGCCATCTTGGAGCTGAGCCTGTTGCTCAGTCCTGGCAGGTTGCAATCTAAAACCTGGAAGAATTGCACAGCCTTATTCCGCATACAAAGCATACAAGTGCAAATGGAAAGCACCCAAGTACAAGTATAAGTATCTAAACAATAAACTAAGATCCCATTGACTACAGAATCTTCACAGGCGTGCAGGTATTCTAGCGGAGCACGTAGGTCGTATGTTTGGGTCTGATCAGATTGCCAAGACCCCTATGGTTGAACCCAATTGCTTCCAAGCTAAACCCGTCTCAATTGCCAAGGTGTCAGCCGTAGCATTGCACGTTCGCAGGTGTATATATATATATATTTGTACATACATATTCAACAGTGATGCCGTGCAGTGGCAACATGAATACTTCATTTTCACAGTGCTTAGTGGCTTAGTGCTTCATTCGGAAGCCATGTCAGGTCCAACCGTTTGCCTCAGGTGCAGCGATTTGGCTCCACCCAGACGGTTCAACGGATTCCAAAGTATTCTGAAAGTGAGTGCCACGCATGTGCTAACTTCCAACCATGTCAAATATTCACAGTCCAGTCATTCCAGTCACCGCGACAGGGCTCTCCTGAACCCAGATTTGATGACATCAATGGACTTGGTCTTGTCACATGGCGATAGACTTAGATGACTTACATGGCAAGCTCTTTCACTTTCACAAGTGGGGTCGATCTTTGCCCTCCTCGAGCGAATATAAAAACGGGCTATACTCATGGTTACGTCCAAAGCTGCTGTCCAACAGAAAACAAGACATGCTTTGATGCTATAACCCGAACTCAAGTCATTTGTCAGTTTGTCGCCTTTCTTAGAACACCAGATTGGACAGCATCTGCAAAACTGGGCGTAATCTGGCATTTGCCTGCAGCGAAACCCGCTCTTAAGCCGCAGGACTTATACATCCACACTCAACAAGCCGAAACTTTGCCAGGATGGTGTAAGCATCTCGAGCAAAGCCGCCAGTATCTTGACATTTTAGGTCTCCGTCTCATACTTTGCAATCGTCCTCAGCTGCAGCCTTGCCTTTTCCTCGAGTTCATGATAGTTATAGAACATGATAGAACCAATATTCTAAAGCCTGACGCTAGACCGATTGAAGCATTGAGACGTCGCTTACCTCATGGCACATGGTACCCAGCTCTCCCGGAAGCTTGGAGGCTTGGCAACATGGTCAGAGATGGAAGATAACTGCTGAAGGTGCACACGTTGGCATTTCAACAAACTCCCTCCTCAAATCTCAAAACTGAGCACAAGAAAAGGTAGTGCGTCAGCTCATGTTCGAAGAGTCCCCAAATTGCAGGCTGTTTTGTCATTGAGGCATTTTCACTGTGGGCACCTCCAGCAGCGGGCTCCACCCTTTGAACGCTCCACACTCCTAACTGGTGTCCAGGCTGGGATGTGCTTGGAACGTCAAAGAACTCCAGGGACCACGATAACCTTTTGGACAAGTTCTCAACCTCATGAGATATGTCTACTTCACCTCACAAAGCTATTTAAGGGGCTCAGATGCAACCTGAAACACGTCCCACAGCAAGACTCACTTCCGCCAATCAACCTGCATGGCCAATGAATACAAGGTTCACAACATTGCAAGCTACTACTCACTACAAAATACCCACCTGTATATTCTGCTCTTGCCCACTGGCTGAACTCACCTGCAAGCCGCCAAAAGACTTATCATCTAGTCTAGTACTTAAAGGTGACCGGTATGAACGAACAAGCAGTACTCGTTGAGTCAAGTGATTCAGACTAAGTTACAGGAGGTAAGGGAGTGAGCGAAGGGATGGACAAAAGGACGGACGGGCGAAAGGACGGGTGCTGGAATGCATGAATGACAGACTGAGTGATTGAATCATTGAGCGACTTAAAGTAAGTTACAGATTCACTCAATGATTGAATGTTCGAACCTGTTTGAGGGCCTTCCTGGATACCACCCGCAGGTTGGAAAGAAACGTTCCAAAGTTCCCCCGGGGGAATTGAAGATCAGATGTCTTAATCACCTCTTCAGTGCTTGAGTGCCGGACTGTTTCGGCTCACGCGACTGACCGTGATCTCCATACGGCATGATTATTCTCTTTTGTGGATCAATCAACAAAAGAATAAGGAATGAAAATGAATGAAGGAAAAAGGAATGTATATAATGAAGGAAAGAGTGAGCCAAGCTAGTGAGTGACAGGGTCCAAATCACATGTGCAGAATGTCGATGAGTCTATGCGGCCATGGCACTCCCTTGACCAGTGCACAACTTCACCATTACACGACTACATTCAGAAAGAGGACTCCAATGTTTGTTGTTTTCCCTTAGTCAACCTGCAAGGACGATCCATTGTAATCGGGCTGACTGACAGCTTTGTAGCTTTGCCAACACGTGGCTGTAGCGGATTGAAACGAAAGTGACCCTTTGTCCTGCACACCTCACCTACGTGCATCACGGTCATGACTACCATCGAGATCTTGCAAGGGGCACTTCTTACAAGCGGACAGGAGGAAGACTTCGTGCACGTTCTTCTTCAGTCTCTTCAGTCCAGGCCAGTGATGCTTCTACAGTAGCTCTGCAGCTCAACCTAGTGATGGGGATACTTCGTGTGCTTTGGCATGTACTAACGATGTTTTTGAAGTTTTTTCTACCAGCAACAGTGAACAGGACAGGTGCAAGAATCACAAGTTGCAGTTGAGCGAGGAGTTGTGCAGCTTTCACATGCTACAGCTGCTACATCCTTCCTGCTGGCCATACAAAAAGGCCCGCGTCCTTTTCACAACTTGTTCAATCTTCATCTAGATTATGCTGCCAGTTGTGAAGTGCAATGGATGCAGGTTGTCCCGTTGGTATAGCCTGCCTGCTGAGCTGCTTGTATTATGTTGCTGCGGGGATAGCTTTGGCTAAAGGATCGCTTCCATCAACCCCGTGGAGAATACCTTGAGTCTTAAGTCATGTGCAGTTTAATCAGTCGTGTGCCATTTGACTCGGAACGTGCGTCATACAATGTTCAGCTTAAGCAAGCTTGCTGCGGAAGTACTGTATGGAGATACCAATCCCATCATTCCGCTGGGGCGACACAATCGGCTTTGTGTGAGGGAGCCCAACCCCCTTCTTGGAATTTGATTTTTTTTTCACGTAGCCTGCAGGAGTTGGAGTGTCAAGGTTGGTCAATGAAGCTGCTTCCCCCTGATTTGCCCCAGCTCACAATGAAGGGTCAATGGACCAATGGAGGATAGACGGTTGGACAACGATTCTACTGTTCGAGAACAATCCGAGAGCACTCCAAAGATCTGTGGTGCACAGAACATATCAACATGATTTGACATGTACATGAAAGACCAGCTAGGGGACGCAGTAGAGCGGGCAAAAAAAACAATGCCCAGGCCACCTCTCGATCATGCCTTGAGAACTATTCGGGTCAACTCTCAGCCCCTGGTATGATTGTTCTGGCACAAGTGTCACAGAGGTAGCACAATGCATCTACTGTGAGCAATTTTCCTGCAAATGCTTATGCAACCTATCATCACAGTGCTACAGCACTATATTATAAACATATTATATATAGAGTAAATGAAAAGGTGGTTATAGAGTAGATGAAAAGGCGGTTTCTGGGGTTGCTCTAGTGACTACACCAACAGCTGCAGGAAGGATGACTCAAGCTAACAACAGCAAATCCGTCACAGCGCTCTAAAGAGCTGCATCTTTAGATGTTCTTTAAACCAGCGCCCGCCTCTGTCCATCACGCGGTCAATGAAGAGATGTCTGCCAGAATGACTGGCCTGCGCTGCTTCATCTTGGCAGTGTTCACGGCCGTCTTCTCGTAGTGGGCAAGATTGGCCTGCCACAACTCAGCACATGAATTGTCACCGTGAGATTCGGGGAATGTGTTTCGGAATCCTGGGGTAGCAGCGCTGCTGAAAACAATCGGAGAAAGCGAAAACAAATGCTGCTATTGGAACGGTCTCAGCTTGGTGGAGCAAATAGAGGTCATGACTGGCCGTGCTTCTAGTACACATATATACATATATGTACTGTATGTACTATTTGCAGAATATACTTGCACAACTACCAGAAATCAGGATTCAGGATCCTGCACTGAGACGTGAACATTTGCAAAGAGAGAACTGCTTGAAATGCAAAGACTTCCATGCAGTTTACAAAGTCGCCTTCAACCCCTGAAGGTGAGCAGCTGAGACGGCTGCCACTTTGCCGGAGGTCTTGCGATGACCTGAGGCTTTGAGGCAGAGTCTCAAAGTTCATGATGCGTGAGGCATCGGCATCGAACTGAACAAGCCTTGAAATGCAAAAACGGCTATAGACTATAGACTTTGAATCCAATGGACGCTTGAAGCGGTAGTTGTGAAAGGCTTCGATGCACTTGCTGGCATACTCGTGGCTCTTGAAGTTCACAAAGGCATACCCGACATTGGACATGGTGCCCTTGTCCAAAGGGCTGTAGAGAAAATCAAACGTCCCAGCAAAGCCCAAATCTTCCAGTTCTGCGATCAGCTCTCGTTGTGTATAGCGATTTGGAATGTTTCGGATCCTTGGGACATGTTGTCAAATTGTAACCACTTTGGCTCCAAGTCAAATCAACCTGTCAAACGAGTCCGTCGTTTTATGCTGCATAGATCTAACAAGACTTGTTTCTAACCAAGTCTAAGCCCAAGTCATCAAGGTGGTGACTTCCTTCTCTTTGTTCTCGTACTCTTGCTGGAGGTTTACATTCCTCGGAACCCGATTGTGCCGGCTCTCTCGTGGCAAGTTCCGCATCTTGTCCCTGTAGAAAGAGCTCTCGTACTGACCTGAGGGCTTTGTTGTTGGCTCTTTCAAGCCAGCAACTGCGCTTGATAAACGACAAAACAATACAAGGTAGCCGCGCTTATACAGTATACAAACCTTTCAGACCTAAGCTGCTGGCCATGCATCATCTCCTTTCCAAATGGCTTTGGAGACTGGGTTGGGGTTGTGAAAGGAGACATGGTCATGTTCTCGCAAGTATCATGCCCCAAATGTGAGAGGCCATAGTCGTAGTCCCACCTTTTATGACTCGGCTTGCCATTCATGAAATCACCATTGTGCTTGGGTTTCCACCGCATCTGGTCAACTCGGCTCGTATACTTGCCTTTTGAATGGTTTGCTTCTGGTTCCTCCTCGATCTTGATCTCAAACTCCACAGCTTCGTCCTTCGATTCGCAACTGGATCCGTTTGAGTATGCCCTGGAACGATTTGCCTCAAACGAAGTCATAGACTCAGTCATAGAGCTCACGGAAGAGTTTGACATGCTTGGTCGGATCTTGCCCATCTCATCCGCACTCCATGTACTCCAAGTGCTGCCAGTTTGATCCGATTCTTCGGACCACTTCCGACATTGCAACCTTTCCTGAAGACTCTCTTGGAGCTGCTTCAACTTCTGGGGAGTTGCACAGTCCTTTGATGCCAACATTGGTCCTGTCGATGACATGTAGTAGCTTCCAAGTTCGATCCACCCTGGCGAGGCTAAGGATTGTGCTGCGGCCGGGGGCACCGAGAGTATAGGAGATCTGGCAGCGCGGACAGCTTCCTGCAGATTGTCTCTGGTTTCGAATTGTACCATATATCCAAAAAACAGGACTCAATATGTTTTTGTTGTTGCTCTCTCCCACTCGTTTCTTAACTCCGGAAATGCTTGTCAAAAAACTATGTGTTTGGTTCCAAACTTCACATACCTTGCACTTGTTGCATTAAAAAGTTGCTCCTCATCATTGTTCCAAATCTTTGCCAACGTAGCCATCTGGGTTCCAGCCTCGATAACCAGGTTTACATGCCCCCGCATCACTTGCAACAGCAGACATAATTCCAAATCATTTGTAATTACTGTGTGCATTTACCTGGGACACGAACCTGGTTCTCATCTGTGACCAAACGTCCCACGGATTTGGAGCGACTCAAAGCACCGCTCTTCTCTGCAAAACCTTAGGTGTTCAAGATTCAATGTGTAAATAAATGTCAAACTGATGCATTCAACATTTCAAGCAGCTTTGAGAACTGATAACAAAACAAGCCTTGGTGTTGAAAACCAAATCTGATTTTTGCCTACGGCAAATCTGCAAGTCTCATCATGTCGCAGGTTGGCAACCATCATCACAATCACATTCGATGAAGGTGTTCTTCACAGACACCTTCGGTCTCGCCATTTGCCGGGCAAAATGGGCAAAGCCACAGACGTCGCACTAACGCCAGTGACTGAAGCCAAACCCATCGGCGGCAGGATAATATTCATTCTGATCATTATATCTCTTTAAACAAAGCTGGCAAAAATTTAACTTATTCCAGTGGGTGCACCACAACCACTCTGTATCAGCTGATCTTGGCTGGCAACCTCAGGGCCCACCAGCGAAAATGCAATGTGTCTGTTGGCCTGCACATCAACACCCGGCAAATACTATATACCTGCAAGCATGTTTGGCACAAATTGTTTGTCAGTTCCGCCAAACCTTTGCATGCCAACGACAACATAAAAAGGAAGCGTCTTCAACTTGCCGGATCTTGGGAGATATCTGCCTGGACCATCCTGTTTGGCTGTCCTGTCTGGAGATCTCCACGTAGTGTGCTGGGTAGCACACCCATTGGCTGGTCGTGGTGGAGACCGTGTTTGCTATGCCTACCTGGCCTTCCGTGCGGGGTGTCCAATGGAGATCCATATGCAAATTATTGTGGGATCCAGTGGAAAGTGGTGGTACAAACCACCCCGTGTAGGTCCTCCACATGAGGGTGGAAGAAGGCCACAGGCGTCGGGGTGCAAGTGTAGCACAAGTGTAGCTGCAGCGGGTTTGCTGAGGCAGACGTGGGCGCTTTGGGCCTGAGCATGGACCCTTCATTGCCAACCAAACTCCACGCCGTGTTCAGCGGTTGTACGTTGTGTAGTTCCACCACCCAAACAAACACGTTGACACACAGTTTCTTCTCATCCAGCCTGTCTTGCAAGAGCAAACCAAATTACACCGGCATAGACCCCAGATAGCGCTCAGGCGCTCAGGGAAAAAGACTCACAATGCCTCATGGACAGGTGCCACAGTCCAATATTTTTGGTTGCAAGTGCAAAGGGCAATGTTCACCTCTCAAGTGTTCGCAGTTGCAGTGCCTGGCACTCTGGCATGAGATGATGTCGCCCGTGGCATGGCATCACACCATGTCATCCACGAAGGGAAACGATGCATACTACAAAGCAATACATGTGTCAATTTGTCAAACACAATATGAGCCCTGGCATGACATGATTTCATCCCTGGCATGACATGATGTCGTCCCTGGCATGAGTTTCACCCGCGACGGGAAACGATGCCAAGTCCCCAAACGCAGCCGATCAGTGGAAAGCCCGATCCAGCACCGGCACCTGCACCAGCACTTGCACCGGCATTGTCGGACAAAACGCCTATCCAGCAGCAGCAGCAGCAGCAGCAGCCACCACCACCAGCAGCAGCACCCTGCGCCAGCACCAGCACCTGCATCAGCACGCCCCAGGAAAAGGCCAATCCAGCGCCAGCACCAGCACCCGCACCACCCCCAGCACCTGCACCACCACGCCCAAGAAACCGCCGATCCAGCGCCACCACCACCCGCACCACCACGCCCCACTTGGATGCGCGGCGCTGCTTGTAAGTGATTGTGGTGGTTGACGAACTAGTAGTTGAAGTCATAAGTGTTTATGCGCTACCATACTTGGATTTACTAATTTCATTATCGCTAAACTCAATGAAACATGTAGAGGCGAACTTGCGTTGAACATCTTAGAACTACACAACTCCAAGGGTTGAACTTACAAGTCTCAACCATTTCAGACCTGAAATTACGCCAGCATAGACCCCAGATAGAAAGATGAGTTTGTGGGCAGCACAATGCCGCGGCACCCTGCACCCCTCAGCGGCACCACCACCCAAGCTCCAAGGTGTGAAAACAAGGAAGCGTTGGCGAACCCTTTTCGAATCCCGCTCTTGAGCCAAACATAACAGTCGGTTTGACTGTATGTCTGTTCGTCCACTCTTCTCTGAAGAGGTCTGACTGGTCACAGTCGCCCAAAACATGCTACAAGAAAGCATCTCCAAACACTCTCAAGCAAAGCTAGGCTATACACGGCTCATCCAAAGCACTACAGCTCTATACTGAGGGCTTCTCTAGACGTGCTCCTAGCCACTTCTGGTCACATTCCAGTTAGTCCTGCTAAGGTGGTGAAAGTGAACACACTTGAAGGAGGAAGATCCCTACTCAGCTCCAACCCCAAGGACAGAAAAACGAAAAAGTTCCACTACACAGAGGTACTAGGTGATCCACACACTGTACAGGCGTGCTACCCACACTTTTCACACCCCTTCTTGGGTCACCTCGTACCTTCTCCTGGTCTTCTTGTCTTCTTCTTCTCTTCAATTCGTTTTCTCTGAGCAACTAGGGTTCGAGCGTCAACTAAGATCTCAACTCCTGTGGTTCAAACTGGTCTCCAGGTCGATCAAACATCAACAAACCGAGAACAACGAGCTTCAAGCAAGATCGAATCAAGCTCAACCAATCAACCACGCTTCGACCAAGCAAGAAAACAACAAGGGTTCAAGGTCCCTCAGACAGCAGGGCCATCTCTTCGCCTCTGCTTCTGTCATCCTTGGGACCCTGAAACCACAAACGGTTTCAAGCGGGTACCTGACAGGTCAAGCAAACAAAAGATTCCTGCAGACAAAAGCTGTCGTGTTCAAAGTACCAAAAGTGCACAAGCTTCAAACATCAAGTGAAAATGAAGTCTAGCTTCAACCCCTTAGATACAAACCCTGGGTTACTGTTTCCCTGACAGCTTCTGAAGCACATCTTGAGTTCCAAAACCCTTTCACTTGCCCTCAACTGCAACCAATCGACTCGACATCAAATGTCATCCGGTCCAAAGTCCACAGCAATCAAAGGAAGCTAGTAGCCCCGGCTAGCTACAAACCCTCTTTACTGTTTGTCATGGTCCATGGCAAATGCAAAAGACATCCCTGATTCTCACAGTTCTCAACCCTTGATCTCTTCCTGATCTCACTTCCTCTGAACCCCTGGCCTCATCCCTTTTTCGTCCTGTCAAGTTCAAACACAGCAATGCGCAAACTTCAACTTCTCAAGATCTCAAACGTGCAAGCCCTTGACTCAACAAGAAAACTTGAACAAGACAACAGGAAGTTCAAATGAAGATCGAATGAAGTTCAAACAAAGTTCAACCCCAAGCACACTCTTCTTCTTCCTCACCAGGCATCGAGCCTCAGTGCTATCGCAGTACCTAGGGCCTTACGCCCCCGGAATGCAAGGAGAAGCGCTCTCCTACAGGTCATTTGGATCCTGTTCCAACCATACCCAGTTCCCTTCACTGGCGCGCACGCGCTTGTAGGTGGGTTGCGGTGGTCCTACGGACCCGCTCGCGCACCCGCTGCTGCAAGGAGATGTTGGTACTGGGTATCCAGTCGTCGAAAATCCCGGAGGTGGAAAATGCGGCACTGGCGGAAATCCGGCTGGGGCCGTCTGCGGAGGTGTCAAACTCGTCGGCATGAGTTTCGGAGCTACCACAGGCGTCTGAGGGGCCTGGGCCACTCCCGTTCCAAGAGTGGCCGGAGGAGGTGCCGTAGCAGCAGGTCCCCCTCCAAGTGCCATAGCCGGCGCCGATCCAGGTGGTACACCCGCCGGACCCGTACTGGCCGTAGCCGATGAAGCTGCTTACGCGGCCTGTGCCACAAGCGACGTTTTGCGCTGCTCGACATCGACGAGGGCCTTCATGAGGGTATTGAGACCTTTCAAAAGGGAGTTGGTCTCATCTTGTGCTTTGCGCTGCTTTCCAACATTGGAATCGAGCTGGGTGATCATCTTACCGATGGATAGCAAGGATTCCTTCACCGAAGTGTTGACTCCTTTGCCAACTCCACTGAGTTGCCAACTGACATCTCCCAAGCTCTTCGAAGTCTGCCGAGCAGTCTTGAGTTGTTCGTCTTGCGTGCGACGTACCGAACTGGCTAAACCAACCAGCCCGTTCGACAAATCCACGACCTTGTCGGTCACCTCGGCGAGCTTGGTCTTGGTACGCTCGTCCGATTCCGCGACCTGACTCATGAAGTTCGCGACTTCGCCGCACACGTCCTGAAGTCGGGCGAACCGACCCAGGGTCCATCTCAGCATGTCTTGGAGATGGTCGACAGACTGCAAAGCTGTCGCTCGGGAGCTGGCAGGCAAAGACTCCAAAGGAGCCAAGTACTTGGAGCTGACATAATTCGAAAATAAATGTGCGACCAAAACGTCGCTCCAGCCCGTAGGTGCTGCTGTCGCAGCTGATGCGCCTGTCGGCGGATCTCAAGCTCTACGTAACCCCTGAATTGGTGCCATTCCCTTCCGGCAGCGGAATCTCGGCGAGGTTGCGAGTCGGCTCCTCTGCATGGATCCGTTGAATCTTGTCAAGATCACTCTGCACACCATACATCGCATCCAAGGCTTGTCCAGCACTACGGTGCCATTTCTCAGCTTCGGCCTTTGCGATCTCAAACGGAGTTTCCGAGAGCAACTGGTCAGAAGCCTCGACCGAAGCCATACACAAAGCCATAAGTTCGTCCAACGGGACGGTCAAAAGGTCAAGCAGGACCAGCCGCCTTGGGAGTTGGAACAACATCCATCCCCCCAGCCGGCAAAGCGGTCCCAGCAGCAGCTGGCTCATCCACGATCACGGCATTGGTCTCTGGGCGCTCCATAGAGGTCACGATGGCTTCGAAAGCGAAAGATGAGATCAAAACGCGACAGTCACACAGCAACCCTCACAGGAGCCAAGCATACCCTTGCTCTGCCACACAGCACACAGCACAAGAAAGCAAAACAGCTCAACACAAAACCAAGAAGAACAAATGTTCTAGAACCCTCGAAACCGCTACAACCCTGAAAAGAAGAAGAATGTTCAAAACCCTTTTGCACAACTGTTTCCAAAACTCTGCAACAACTGAAGTCTCAAACTGTCATTCTCTGGCGTCTCAACCCTGCAATCCCTGGCATCAACCACAAACAAATGGACATGTCTGACACTCAAAACCCCTGATTTAGCTACTCCTCGACTCCTTATTGCAGCATACATCAACGGTTTCAAGGTCTCAAACCACAAACGAAAACCCTTCGCCTGGCGCGCGGCCACCAGTGGACTTCCTTCTGTTGCCTTCTGAAACAAAAATGGCCGCGGGCGGTCATCACTCAGTTCCACTGTTTCAAGACACCGAGAACAGTCCAAACAAGGAAAAGTGTCACAGCAAAGGGTCTCTACAGTTCAAACGTCTCAATTTCCTTAGGAAAGAGGGAACTATCCGGACATTCGGTGAAGCAA